GATGAGCGTTGGGCGACAAGGTGAACAGTGAACGACATGGGTTGTTACTGGGTAACCCGGAGGTATTTTATGTTCCAGACCAACGTTTGGTAGCATCGATATATCAAGTGGTATGGAGTCCAGTGACCACGGTGTTGCGGGTGTCGGAATGGCTTTTAGTGTACGGCTAAGCGCTTCCTTTTCGTCGAGATCCCATTCTGTAGTCATTTTTACGTTGTCTTGACGGTTGGGTACAGGTCAACCACCACAGGATCAAGTGTCATCAACACCTGATTGCCGTTGGCTCGATTCGAAGCACAACTTCTAAAATGATCCCTGTCGACTGCCGCACAGTTGGCTCAACGGACATCGTAGTTCTCTCGGGCTACCTCGAGATACTTATCGAGCGAGTCAAAAAGGTGCCTAACATATACACCCCTCACTTCCCATTGATCCATATAACCACACTGCTATCAACGATCGTCGACAGGGATCTATTTAAATCTGTAATAGATGTGATTCTGGAAACAACGCTGCCGTTGTGCGAGGATGGCAGTTCGATGGGCTTCCGGTTGGTTGGCTGTTTAGTCTTAATTACGCAGAAAGCCTTGTGTCGTTGAGTGAAGATCTACGTAATTTACAAGCTTTTCTGGGTGCTAGTGTAGTTATATAATGTACGCCTTTCAGAGTGTAAAATGCATAATTTGCATAATTTTTCGGGCCCAACTGCCAACATCACTCTATCAGGGTGGTAATAGAAATATTGAGCAAATCTGGCTGTTCGGGCAGCTATACCTCATATGGGGGAAGCATGATTGAGTTCAAGTTTCGGTACACATATCGAAGGCTTGGTTGGCGTTTGCCAACTTCAGACACCTCTGGCGTCACCACCTGTGGCGCTGCCATGATATTCGATTGTCACCTAAGGGAAGGGTGTACATCACCTTGGTTCGTAGTGTTCTGCTTTACAGTTATGAGACCTGGACTCTCCGAGCAGAAGATGCGAATTGAATTTCCATATTTGACTACCGATGTCTCCGAAGCACTGCCCCTGTCTGGTGGAAACATCGGGTGAGCAATGTCGAGGTTCATCGTCGTGTGTTGAGTGGGAATAGTCGTTCTCTAAAAGAAGTAATCCCTTTACACAGCCTCAGATGGCTTGGTCATGTTTTGCGTATGCTTAGTCATCGTATACCCTTCCACGCTCTTTTGCACATGCTAGTCAAGGCTGGAGGAAACGTCGCAGTGGTCAGACCATGACATGGTGTATAAGTATGAAGAAGCTGGCTTCAGCTTTGGCTTCGGTTGTTGCAGATAGCCTTCCAGGTTGAGGCCCAAGGGACAGGAATTGTCGTTGGTTAGCGACACTGAGAGGTATGGCTCAGAATACAAGTCATTGGCGCGAATAGTGCGCTGTCTCTCAACTGAAATCGCATGCACCGTGTAAAAGAACACCGCAAACTAACACACAAAATATCAAAACGTGTACGGTGAAACACAAAAAATTGTTGTCCCTGGTATCCATTGTTTTCCAATGGAACTGTTTAGCCTTTTGACACTTCGTTCTGTATCCAATCCACTCTTCTCCTATATCTGTTATTACTGTTCTGGCGTTGGCACCAAGCTTGTCCGCAAGCTGATGATAAAAGTGTGTGTATACCTCTGGCGTCACCGTGGTATTCGGCTGTTCGTGAAAGGTCGAACTGTAGCTGTCTGGTTGGTTGTATCTGTATGGTGCAGAAAGGGGGCTATCACAGCACCAGGACGAAGGGAGACAATCGGTGTTCGGGCGCCACATTAGTTGAGCCTGGTGGGGCAACTATACAAGCAACGCCAAAGCCAAATGAAGAGTTTAAAACAACTGAGATCACGCACCGAAGCAAGAAATAGAACTCCATCAACTAGGATGATTCTGACACGAAGTACGCCTTTGACGTGCGATGTTTTCGAGACAGGTTGTGGCTGGAAGAAGTCCAAAGCTGGTCAAACTAAAACCTGCTATGGGGATATGAAAACCGTAGATCACTTTAGGTTCCTCGATTGGAGACCTCAGGATTGTTCATACCAATGCTTAAAGATATCAAGTGATACGGCTGAGTATCGTCAATGGTAACGCACCCACCCACTCGATTTCGTGGCACATTTCGTTTAATTACACTCTGCATTTTTATCCTGATACTGCTTCCTGCCATCTGATTTCTCCTTCTAGCCCCCCCCCCCCCCCGCGCCTTACACAAATGGGCAGTCGGAAAACAACTAACAAAAAAGCCGCGCGGAAGGATGAGGTTAATTGTTATCGGAACCGAATTGCTTTCACTGATGCGTACAGTAGACTAACTTGAGGTATAAACTATCGAAGTCCGAGATCATGGCGTTAGCCCGGGGAAACGCAGTGGTAGGACAATAACTTGCATCTGGATGACACAGAACATGTTGCTGCCGTTGTCATCGTTGTAAAAACCACAAGATGTCGTGGTAACATTCTTTCAAAGTATCACTGGGCAGTTTGTCACACCAGACAATTTTGAAGATCCCACGTACACACATATCAAGATACAGCCTATTAACGTCTTCGATAGGCAATGGCCACTTTTCACATATGCAAATTAGTACGGATGTAATGGTAGTCAGAAAATGCGAGTATCGATCGGGAAACCGGTACCAATGTGACAAAACGACGCCTAATAAAGTTGCAGAAACGCCTTTTGAGCGTCATGTATGTGTACAGACATGATCTGATACTTGGTTCAATTAGTGAGAGAACTAGAAACTGTCCTTGTTTATCGAGATACAATCGACTGACTTTCAAGTGATATGTACCGGAAAAAGCCAAACTTTAACTCTGAAGCTTTATGGTGGCATCTAAAAGACTCACCTTTCTGGCAGTTGTTGACAGAGCCGTATCATGAACGGATTGCAACCCCGAATCCGCTGAGCACCGAAGCAAATGTCATTCATCATCCAAAACTGTAAACTCTACATGGGGATATAAAAAATCCAATAATACATTGTTAAAGTGTATTAGCAACTAAGATCATGTGCTTAATAAGAAGAATACAGTAGTAGCTTATCAAGTAGAAGGTCATATCGCTGATCACCTATAACCACGTGACAAAATTCAATAGATAACTCACTTTCACCCGATATTCCTCTATTCTAACTGAAATTTATTCTTTCAGAGTAACGTATAAATGGATAATGCAATGGTATTAGTCATTCCCAACACGGTAGAAATTTTCAAGCGCTCGTGTAATCCATTCCCTTGGCTTAGTTTGACGTTCACTTCGATTTGTAGAATAAGTCTAATTCGTTTACTTGAGTAATATTATGACAGCAACAAAATTCCATATTCTTCTTCAAGTCACCCCCCAAAACACCAAGTTTCTCCGAGGGTATGTGAGGCTTTGTTCTTGTCCCAAGAAGTGCCTCTCTTAGAGAATCAATTAGTAATGGCCTACTCACTGTTTTTTAGAGAGCATTACTACCAAAGTGAGAGGACGAAAACCGTTAACTGGAGTCGTATGATGCACCGCAGAGAGCTTTTGTTCAATACCCAAGGGTTTTCAACGAGAAAAATCACTTACCATAGGCTCCGTGACGTTATACTTTTTATAAAAACTTCCAAGCTCATCTAAAGAGCTCCAAGGTTCTTCACTTGTGTATTCAGGTGCAAGTCCATAGCGTTCAATCACTTCCATCACTAGTGGCTCAATGTTCCACTACATTAAAGGTTTGCAAGTGACTTGAGGAAGAACTTACCCGACCATCCGATGTGAAGTATTCAGACGGAGGAATATCACGTAACTATGAAACTGTAATGTTATGAATAATGAAAACGCACCTCGACGGGAAGACCTTTAGCTCGTTGAAAAAATGTGAAAAACTGTAACCGTGTGCTGATTTCTGCATCACGTAAATCTGGAAAAGGATCCTGTATTGGTAACCACGACTCGCAGTCATGAACCACGTATTGGTGATCCGGACTAATCCACTGATGCACAGGAAAAAAGAAATACTTCCATTCGGCAGTCATACCAAACCTCCGATCCCGTATGATAACCCTATCCAGAAACCAGGCTGGAGGCGGATTTGTTTCCGTGGTACACCAGAATTCGATGTGATGTAGACGGCGAAAGACCTGAACAAAAATTGGATCTGACATTTAATGCCAAGTTGATTACCTTTAATTTGCTCCAGGGTTGAAAGTCGATGGTAAATTTGGCTTGGGTGTAGTCTGATTCATTTTGAAAGATGTTAGCTAGAGTAATTGTTGGTGACTGATTGCCCATTGAATCGAACATGACCATATTGACACCAGGACCAAGCTCGTCTCCAGTATAATCTCCACTGACCACACATACTTCAAAGGCGATCTTTGTCGATGTGCCACCCATATAAGAAATCGGTTTAGGACGAAATGTTGCTGGCGATAAGAGTCAACACCAATGTTCAGCGGAAGTTCCTCCAACCAACCTGAGGAGACAATGCGCACCGAATTGTTGCAGGCTGTACCATATAAAATAAAAGGGCAACTCCACAAAACGAATATATAAACACTACTGATAATGTATAGTCAGTTTCAGTTTTTACAACCATTAATCAAACACCTTCGAGCGGCTCTTTTGGCTTCCGATTTGGATAAGGGTGTGTGTGTGTGTGGGGAGACTGCTGTGTTGAGCGCAACAGACGTTGAATTTGGTGAGAAGGCTGTTTAGGTTTCATCAATCCAATAGTTTCTTGTCGGTTGACCTTACTAGCTTCACGATGAGTAATATACCGTTAGTGGCAGGAACGAAAGTAAGAACTACACTCATGAGGAGGGCTTTCCAGATGAGTGCAATCTCGTGTAAGCGATGAAACTGGAATATACTGAATTGGGACTAATTGTGATTGACTCGCTTTCGTCAAATAATTTGCGTCCTCGGGAAACCTGTTGGTTCCGATATCAAAACGTCCTCGAAAGAACGACTCAGCAACACAAGATGAAAAAGAAGTTTGGTTACATGATAAGACAGTTTCAGCTTTTACAACCATTAACCATGCACTTTCGTGCGTCGGTTTTGGTTGCCCATTTGGATAAAAGAGCGAAATGAAGATTGGAATGCCGAAGCAAATTCAAGCGGAAGGTGGGGAATACACATAGAGTGGTGTTAGGAAAATAACGAGTGGATGCACGAGCGCCACTTTTTGCGACACCCAGCCATATCACTCAGTGAACTAACCATCGGTGACCCAGAGGTCCCCAGCCAGGGAGCCTAACGGGGCCTATGTGACCTAGTCTCCTGGTTAGGGTTTATTAGCTTGACCGCTCTTTGTTTTTTTCTAATCGCTACCAGCCTTGGCAAAAATCATTCGTCGTGGCAACTTATCTGGTGACATGCGCAGCACATGTCCCAGCCAGCGTAATCTATGGAGGTCGATCACTTCCTCTAGTGGACGACCGCGACTGCTTAAAACTCTACGCCTAACCTCAGCACTGCTAGTCCGATTACCCCACCAGACACGTGCAATGCTACGTAGACAGCTGTGCATATAGACTGAGGGTGTAAGAATATTGAGTAGATACGCGAACGCCACTGTTTTCGACACTTGGCCATATCACTCAGCGTCTCTAACCACCAGTGACCATGATCTCGAGGTTCCCATCCAGGGAGCCTAACGGGACCTATGTGACCCAGTGTCTTGGTAAGGGTTTTCACGCCAGGTCT